TTATTACATTTCTTATTTTTATTTATATTTTTATTATTATTATTTTATTTCTTATAAATAGGGTAGCTTTAGAACTTTAATAACAGAAGAACTTTTAAGTAGAAAATTACTTTTAGTACTATCACCAACAAGATAAATACTAACACATTTATATGCTAACAAATACACTTGTAATAATTATTCTATTTAATAAATTACCTATAATCACCTTTGTCTCTAAAAATACATTTGATCAATAAACCTTCAGAAGCTCTCCATAAATCGTATTATAAAGTCTTAAAGCTAAATTCTTTGTTAATCTTACGTCAATACTAATTTTTAGTCGTTAGTATCATAAGATAATAATACATTTATTATATCCCTATTATAAAAAAGATTTAATAAGTTTAATCAACAAAGCATCTATCTTTCTTTTAGAATTATTTACAAAAGTTAAAAATAATATAAATGGACAAAAATTAATCAAAATGGTAAAAATAAACATTCATATTATCTTGTAACTCTTAATATAGATGTAAATAAATGACATTTATCAATGGCTTTAATTCAGAATATCCTCTATTTAGTTTATTAGTAAGATGTTATCTTCAAAATTTTTATCAGATATTGCAATTAATATTTACTTTTTATATATCAATTTCTCTTTCATGTAATTATATTTATCATTAATATTATTTACAATATTTTGAGTATAAGTATTTATATTATTTACAATATATTATAAATAAAATTAATAATAATGTAAAATCTATTATTTGTAGAATCACAGAAGAAAAATTTAAAATTAAAATTGATTAAAAAGGTGAAATACAATTGGATAATGATGAATCTAAAGAATTATCATTAATTTAAAATAGTACTTGAAAATTTTATTATATTTTAATTTCAAATAATAAATATATATAATTAATAATTATTATTAATATATTTAATATAATAACTAAAAAATATAATCTGTTTAAAAAATTATATTCAATTTAATAATAAAAATTTGAGCCAATCAAAATTATTGATAATTAGGAAATGATCGAACCAATCATACAAATGTCTGCCATGCTCATCGAATCATGAATTATAATTGGTTAATAATAATGTACATCAAAAATTACATCTATCGGGCCTATAGTTATAATTTAGAGATTTAGATGTCCAATCATGATGCTGATGATCCACACATAGCGATTTCTTATCAACAAAATGAGTGCCAAAGAAGAGAGAAAAGAATTTAAGAAGAGTATGGATATGAAAAATAGTATAAAAAAATTGGATAAAATGATAAAAATGGTTTGTAATTTTAACATTCAAGGAAGAAAATTTATACTAATATGATTATAATGAGTACTTTTCTTTTCTTACTTTGTTTTTGTTGTAGGTAAATGAGATAAGTGCTATTTTTAATACTATTTGTGATCATTTAAGCGAAACTTGGAAACCACTTGAACAAGGAGGTAAGTAAAATTTAAATATTGTTATTTACAATAAGAGTTGTAAAACTAATTTATCTTTTATTTTTGTATTCCTATGAAAAATTGTTTATGATAATTTCATCAAAATATAAAAATTGTAAGAACTTCATTTGATTCATTTGATTTGTCATATTTGGGTTGATTATTAACCAATCAAAAATTTAAAGTACAAAGTAAATAGAACGAATAATAATATACCAACATATGACCCAGATTACATTGAAAAAATGAATGACAAAATAATGAATAAAATGGAAGAGTTCTCCCAACTACTCGAAAATTCTTTAGGTTTGTCATTTACATCACTTATCTTTATTGTATTTTAAAATATTAACCTGAATATGCTTTGTATAAAACTTTTCCAGTTGATTTGGAATATGCTAATCAAGTTGAAGGGGCCTGGAATTCTAATCAGAGTAATCGAAATAAGCCGTTAAGTTAATATCTTTCAATTAATCATTTCATAAAGGATCCTTTGGTATTAATATATGTATATATTTTTTTTACTTATTTTGTTTAATAGATACGTTAAATATGATCTTAAAGATGATGAAAGAATCATTATAGATCTCAGAGAAAAAATGCAAAAAACGAGTCAACAAGTTACAAAGTAATTATAATCTCATTAGAACGTTTAAATTCTTTAAAATTCACATTTATTAATTGCTTCTTACCCTGAAAGTACATTTTTTAAAGATTATGAAACTTATTTTAAAAAACAAAAGGATGAAAAGCAAATCATCGTTTCAGAATTAACTTATCCCAAACGAACAAAAGCATATGATGCAAGGTAAAATCCTTTCCAAATTCATTTTTCGAGCTTATTCTTTTTATTTATATTAAATTTTTTATAACCATTATTTAGACAAATTAATAGTACAATTGATAATTGGCTTGCTAAAGCAAAAAAAGGATCTTATAAAGTAGAAATTGATAAAACCGATTTTGATATGTTAAAACGAGTTTCAGCTTTTTCAGTATGTATTCCACTTGTTATTTTAGTAATGTTATTATTGTGAACGTAAAATTAATACATTTTTTTTAAAGGTATCAGTAAATAATTTTTTAAAGGTTCACATTTCATTAAAATATAATGATATTGACGGGTCGTCTTTAACAATTTCGAGAATAGTATTTTTTGGATATCATGAAAAAGCAAGTTATTATTTCACAAAAATTATTATGATAGATTCATTATTAACCTTTCGTGCTTCTGTTTATTAAAATTGTTATAATAGAAAACAATTCTAGAGTCTTCAGATTCTTTGGAGTTTCAACGTATAACACAACTAGCAGCCGCCAAATTAAATGAATTGGATACTACTGATCCGATACCAGACCTACTGGTAAGTTTCATACGTTTCCAAATTCCTATTCCATCAATTAATATTTTTTCTTAAGTTACCTATTCTTTATATTTCTCTTACCTAAAAGGACTGGATATCAAGTTATCATGATTTAACTTCTAAACCTTGTAATATTTGTAATAAATTATTAAATTATGATTCATTTAAGTATAAATATTTACCTCCTATCGTTAGATTATTACAAGCAATTGATAATGAAAAAAAGTATTTACCTTACCATTGGAAGTGTTATAACAATTTAAAAAATTAATTTATAGAAATAGATTAGATATTCCAAAAAAATTCTTGTGTAATAAAAAATACTTATTTAGCCACATGCATTTATGATCTGGCTTACATGTGATTAGATATTCAATCATGAAAAGATTAAGATTTTCCAACTTTTATTTTCAATTTCATCGTAAACCCAATTTTACTTCTTCCTTTTTATATTTTTCAAAACTGCCGTCTGAACCAAGTAGTTTAAAAGATTCGTTACAGCAAAGGCATAAGCCTTATTCGGTTCATAGAGGAATAGGAGAAGAGGAGAAACTCAGAGAGGCTGCAAATATTAGTGTAGCCGGTAGTAGCAATAGTTCGCAACCATTTTCATTAGGACAGGAAAAACAGCATGGTAAAGAAATGACGGTTTCTCTAACAGAACAAGAGTTAAACATATGTGACTTATTGAGAAAAGTTACTACATATTTGAAAGAAACTAATCCTGAGTTACCCTCTATTGAACTAAGAATTGCTGGTGGTTGGGTTCGAGATAAAGTAATGAAATATATATTTTTTTTTAATTTTTTTTTTTTTTTTAAAAAAAAATTTTATTTTTTATAATTTATATTTATTTATTTTTTTTTTCAAATGACATTAGTTACTTGGATTCGAATGTAATGATTTAGATGTCGCGATAAATCATTTGACAGGACTTAATTTTGCAAATTATGTTAAAGAATTTGTTGATAAAGAACATATGTCTATTCCAATAAAAATTCATTTAATAGAATCAAACCCTGAAAAATCTAAACATTTAGACACTGCTACTACAAATATTTTTGGTTTGGATATAGATTTTGTTAATTTAAGAAAAGAAGTCTATGATGCGTCTAGTAGAATTCCTGTTTCTATTGTAAATGTTGGCTAACTTTTTTGTATTGTTTCTTGTCCAATATGAAAGTTAAACTAAAATTCATCTTTTAGGATTTTGGTACACCCGAAGAAGATGCTTATCGTAGAGATATAACCATTAACGCGTTATTTTATAATATACACACGTATGAGGTGGAAGATTTCACAAATAAGGTATATTTATAAAATTTTTTCTTTTAAAAAAAATTTTTTTGACGCGAAACCTAAGAATTTTTGTATTTTTTTTTAAAAAAAAGGGAAAGTCAGATATGAAAGAAAGATTAATTCGCACTCCACTTCCTGCTTATGAAACATTTAAAGATGATCCTCTTCGAGTATTGAGGTGTATAAGATTTGCAAGCAGATTTCAATTTGAGATTGTTGATGATGTGAAAAATGCCATTAAAGAAAATGATAGTATCAAAGTAAGAACGTATAAAAAAGATTTCAGTGGCATCAAACCATTTGTACGAGATCGTTTAATAACAATTTAATATTCCAACAGACAGCATTAAATGAGAAAATAAGTCGTGAAAGAATTGGATTGGAAGTTGATAAGATGATCAAAGGTTTAAATTCGGTTTATTATTTATGGTGTGTTTGAATTTAAATCTTTACATTTTGCGGATATTTTTTAGGACATGATCCCACTTGCGCCATCAATTTGATTGTTAATTTGGGACTTTATGATATAGTTTTTTCACCACCTCCACAAGAAACCATCGTATCCGGAAAATTTGTAGATACAAAAATTTGTTTAAATACAGCAAAAATTCTTAAATGGTATGTATTATATATATCATCCAAATCTAATACAGAATAAGATAATAACTTATTGATATTATGATTGACTTAGGTTGATTTCTGATGAAAGTAAAGATTATGATGTCCATCCTAAGTTTCGTCAATTGGATGAAAATGAAAAACGAAAATTATATTTGGCAGTTTGCACATTACCTTATAAAGATATGGTATATACAGAAAAAAAAAAGAGGCATCCGGCTTGCCGTTTTGTAGTTCGCGAAAGGTTAAAGGTGCGAATTCACTTCTTGATTTTTATTTATTTTGTGGATAAGTGTAAAAAGTCTAATTGGAATTTTTGAAATAGTTTTCGAATGAGGATGTTGATAAAGTATCAAACCTTCTGTCGTCAGTCGATTCTGTGAAGAACGCGGTTGCACAGAATAATGAAGCTCCAGCCAATAGAGTTGCACTCGGTAATTTATTTATTCATTGTATTAATAAAAAAAAAAAAATTTTAAATTATGTATTAAATTAAACTATTAGGATTATTGATACGTGAACTTGGATCTGGATGGTTGACGAATTTACTCTTTGCTTTGTCCAATGAGTTGATGTCGAAATTTGACAATATGGATAAAGTTAAAGAAGTTAATAACAAATATACAAAGTTCATTGAAAGAGTACAAGATTTAAAATTGGAAAACGTTTTTAATGAAAAACCTATCTTAAACGTAAGTATCATTTTTACATGATTTCAATAATTAACAAAAATTCTTAATTCTTTTTTTTTTTTTTTTTAATAAAAATGGATAACAGGGTAAAGACATTCAGAATTTTTTGAATATTAAACAAGGACCCGGGTTTAAAAAAATATTGGATTCAGTCATGGAATGGCAATTAGAATTTTCAAATAAAAGTAAAGAGGAATGTATGGAATTTATTAAAAATAAATATGGAAATATATAACACATTTGATAATTTAATAATAAATAAATATATATATATATATATAAAAGCATAATTCTTTTTAATTATCATTTTCTTCTTGTAACTAAAGTAAATCCATCATCATCAATGATGGGCTTATTTTTTGGTAATTTTGATGGAGTTGTTGAATTATCCATATCCATAATATCATCACCTTCCATCGTCGAACTTTCCCCATTTTGTAAACTTCCATCGTCGTCATTACTGCTATCATCCTCATCCTCATCATTGTTTTTTGCTTTTTTCGAAGATGGCAAATTTTGTTTAGGAGATTTTTGTTTAGATTCCAATAAATCTACTGTTTTGTAATTGCCTTTAATACATTCATTATACATTTTAATTAGGTCTTGAGATATCTAACGTAAATAAAAGATTAATCTTTTGAAGTGAATTTCAAGTAATAAGAAGAGGAAAAAAAAGTACTTGATATGCTGAATCATCTTCTATTATAGTATTAAATTCATCTGCCATGATCTGAATCAGAATAGTTTCTAAATCATAATCATCCGTACCCTTACCGTCTAAATTTCAAAAAAAAGAAAATTTCATTAAATCAAATAAAAAAAAGGTGAATGTATATATTAAAAATTAGTACTTGAATCAAAATATTCTACAATAACATTGATAAACCAATCTCTTTTATCTTCTGAATCGTGTCCACCCCATTGCATATCCACAGCCAACTTTAATGCTGTCCATTCGGTTTTAAATAATATTGAAACTCCTCGAATAAAATTTTGGTTCATTTGAAAACGAAGATACTCTTTTTTAAATAAAGTGAATCAATCAACCAATCAATTTCGTGACTTAAAAAACATTGATAATCTAATGACATGACTATCATATTAATTTTCAAAAATTTTTAGGATGGTAATAATTTTCGCATTAAAAAAACGATTACAATTATCATATTTATCATCGAAAAATAATGTTCCGTTTCAAAACTTAATTTCAATACTAAATAAAAATATTGTCACAACTCGACGACATTTACAAGGACATTCTCGAAACAAGGTAATTTTCTTGTTAGGATTTACGTGCTTTTGTAAATTCTAGGTAACGTTTTTTTATTCCAATTAGTCTTTAGCTTCCAAAAGTAAGTCAATTGAAAAGCAGACAGAGTCCGAGTCTGAACAAACTAAAAGCGTACGTTAGTAACTCATTAATACATTTTTTTTTTTCGCGTATAAACATTTATTCAACTTATTTTTAATAATACTATACAGAAATATTTCAATTATCGTTCAAACATAATTAAAGAACTTCGCCACACAAAAGATCCAAGTCCATATCCACATAAATTCAATGTAGATATCAGTATTTCACAATTTATTCAAAAATATTCACACATAAAAGCCGGACAAATAAATACCGATGAAATTGTAAGAATAGCTGGTCGTATTCATGATCAAAGATCTTCTGGTAGAAATTTGATTTTCTATGATTTATATGGTGATGGAACTAAAATACAAATTAATGCTCGGGCGCAGTAAATGTTATTACCAGTTAATTAGTTATAAAAACATTTATTTTTTAATAGCAGTAATAATAGAGATGTTAAAGTTCACCCATTCATTTATCTATCTATTTTTAGAGATTCAGAACGTGATTTTACAAAAACTCATGAACATATTCGAAGAGGAGATATTATCGGAGTCATAGGAACTCCGGGAAGGACAAAACTAGGAGAATTATCAATATACCCCAAAGATCTTACATTATTATCACCATGTTTACATCAATTGCCTACTCCACGTGAAGGACTCAAAGATAATGAAACTCGATATCGACAGAGATATCTTGATTTGATGATCAATAACGAAATACGAGAAAATTTTATATGTAAATCAAAAGTCATTAATTATCTTCGACGATTCTTGGATGAGCGAGGATTTCTGGAGGTTGAAACACCAATGATGAATCATGTTGCAGGTGGTGCATCAGCAAAACCATTTAAAACACACCATAGTCATCTTAAACGTGATCTTTATTTAAGAGTTGCACCAGAATTATACCTAAAACAATTGGTTATAGGTGGATTAGAAAAGGTTTATGAAATTGGAAGACAGTTTCGTAATGAATCTATTGATATTACACATAATCCTGAATTTACTACGGCAGAATTTTATTTGGCTTATGCTGATATGTTTGATTTGATGCAAATGACTGAGGATTTATTGGGAAACCTTGTTAAATGTTTAAAGGGAAATTATGTGGTAAATTATAATTTGAATGGTAAAGAAATTGGAATTGATTTTACACCTCCTTTCAAAAGGATTGATATTATCAAAACTTTGGAAAATAAATTGAATGTGAAGTTTCCTGATCCCGATCAATTACATACCGAAGATACACATAAATTCTTATTTGATTTATGTGAGAAACATAAAGTTAGTTGTGGACCACCAAAAACCAACTCTAAATTATTTGATAAGGTAGAAAACATATATATATATATTTTAAGAAAATAGTTTTCGTCTCGTCATAAACGTTCATTAACTTTTTCATACTTTTAAATAATAGTTGATCAAAAAATTCATTGAATCAGAATGTATATCGCCAACCTTTATAACTGGTCACCCACAAATCTTATCTCCATTGGCAAAATCGCATCGTGAAATTACAGGATTATGTGAAAGATTTGAATTAATTGTTGGAACAAATGAAATTATTAATGCATATACTGAATTAAATGATCCTTTTGAACAAAGAGAAAGGTTTGAACAACAAACTCGTCAAAGAGGTTTAGGTGATGATGAGGCCCAAATTGGTGATGATGCATTTTGTACAAGTTTGGAATATGGATTACCTCCTACGTAAGTATTGGGAAAATACGGAATGAGAACCTTTGTTATGATGAACTAAAACATTTATTATTTTTGTAGGGCTGGATGGGGCTTGGGTATTGATAGGTTGACTATGATATTAACTAATAATTCTAGTATAAAAGAGGTACGTCCTGTTTAATTTAACTTTCGTTTTTACAAAAAGATTTTCTAAAAAGATTGCCTATAAATATTATTATAGGTTTTATTATTTCCAGCATTAAAACCGATTTAATAAATAAAGTAATAAAAAAAAATTTTTTTTTTTGAACTACATAATAAAGAACTAATACGATCATAATCATAAATTTATTATTTCATGTTGATTTATCTTTAAACCTTGCTTTAATAAATCATTTCGTGATTTAAGAAATGACTACAATTGAGCTAATCTTTAATAGATATTCTTGCTGTTCACTTATCAAAGTTATATTTTGGTCACCAGACTGTTATAATGTTGATGAAATGACCTTGAATGACCTCAAATAACATTAAATTTCAAGTTGAAATGACCAAGATAATTAAAAGTACATATATAAACTAACTTTACAGTCTAATGCATAAAATTTTCGTAAGCATTACATATATAAATAATATAAATGCCATTTCTTTATAAGTCTCTCTACCTTTCATCTCCAAGCTTAATAATGGTCAAATAAGGTAAATTTTAATAAAATATTCATTTTAAAGATTTATCAAGAGTCAGAAATAAATTAACGATATTAACCTCACCGAAAGTTTATGTTCGCCTAATAAGGTCACCGAAATATTAACTTGTGCCGATCATCTGATTTAGTTGACAAATATGACAGATTGGTCATATTTGACCGATGATCCATATTTATCATATTTATAACATTTGTTTAACTTTATTAACTTTATTAAATTTGTTATATTTGATAGATTTGTTTTATTTATTATATTTATCATATTAGTCATATTTATTATCATATTATATTACTATTAGTTATTTTATATAAATAGCATGTATTCTTCCTTGAGTTGAAAGATAACTCGAGATAGAGTTTTGGAAATAAATCAAGAGTTTAATAAAGATATTTGTTATTCATTTACTATTACCTTTTGCCATGTCTCCATATAGGTGTGATTGTGATAAAGTTATTGTGATTAATTTGAAGGACTAAATTAGATTATCTAAGTTTTATTTCTAACCCTTCAACTAATAATGTCAGTTCTTTTAAACTGGAGAAAATAGAGTATACTATTTTGTTACACACATATAAATTAGTCAAATATGAAACCAGTTGAAAATTTTTCTGGTTTGAGAATTTTTTCATTATATAAAATTTTGCTATCATATTTTGATAACATGATAACATATCAATATGCTATCAAAGATGTCAATTTAATCATAATATTTGGTGTTTTATACAATACAAATTATAGTAATAGGTGACATCATTTTTTTTAAAGGAAATTTATTATTTTGGCATTACAGGTGAAGACAATTAAATTTTTCAATAATAATTATTTAATAATAGTCTAAAATTTGAACTTTATTTAAGAATTTGCAGTTTTCGGATACAAGCAAAATTATTTATAATTAATACAAAAATAAAATATATATATCAATACATTTTTGATTAATACTTTAATTATTTTAATTTTTATATGAAGATGACAATACAACACATATGACAAGACCAAAGAATAGAAAGATAGATAAAATAATTATATATAAAAACTTAAATATCTACAAGTCCATTAAGTTCTAATTGGCTAATATGTTAATTGTTACATATTCAGGAAGTGATAAATAAACATCACAACCTGTTCCTCTGATACTTAATAAAAATTGAAACTCATACCAGTAATAAATTATCTAAGTCCTACAAATATACATATTAGAGCTATCAGGTTCATGTAATATAAAATTAAAAATTATGCATTTTAAAATGCAAAATATGCAAAAAAAAATTTATATAGTAAAAAGAATGAAATTTCAATTTATTGATTATTATAATATAAAAAGTTTAACATTTTAATAAAGATCTGCATCTATTATTCAAAATTCTTTTATAATTGGAAAAATTATCAATTTCTGAAATAGATAACAATTAATGATATAGAAGAAACTGAAATATTTAGTTATATGATGAAACTAAAATATATTTAATCATTATTTTTAAAATGACAAAATGACAAAATATTTTGTCATAACGAAACTATTTAGTTATGCCAAAATATTTAGTCATAACAATACTATTTGATTATAATATAACTATTATAGTTATAACAAAATTATTTAATTATAATAATTAAATCTTTATATATCAATATTGACTAATAATTAAAATCACTTATAATAATAATATTATTTATATTATAATAATAATTAATACAATATTTATAAATTAATAGAATTTTATATATTATAAGTGATTTTAATTTATTTATAAAATATAAAATAAAAAAATAATTTAATTATTTTTATTAAATTTTATTTATTACACTTCATTATAAAAAGTTTTTTTAAATAATAAACTATAGAAAATCTATTATTTAAATCATGTAAATTAAAATGCTCTAATAAAGAAGATCTTCATAAAATTATATACACATTTGATTGCAATTATAATACCTATTTGACTTAAAACTAATTTTTCTCCTTCAAAATCACCAAAAACTATTATTACACAAAAGGCATATTTACAATCATTTTTATCTATATGTAGATCTGTAGCATCTTATCTTTTTATATTTAAAATATCATTATTTCCTGGTATACTAAAATTTATAGCAAAATTTTTAAAAAATGAAAGATTAGTTTCAATATCAGATAAATTCATATTAAAATCATCATATAATTCAGAAAAATTAATTTTGATTAAATTTTTAATCATAAATTTTAAATCTATAATAGATGAAAATAATTCATCTAATTCATCTTTTAAATAAAGATAAAATTTATATGTATCTTATGATTTTAATATTTTCTGAAAATGTATTTTTCCTATTTTTATTTTTTGATGGAATTCTTTATTATTTTGAAAATAATTATATAAAATATTGCTTTTATTTTTAATTTTTTCAAAATTAATAAAATGTTCTTGCATATAATTCTATATAAATTTGGCTACATGTCAATATTTTTCTTCAGTTGTAGGTAAATTATATTTATTATATCCTTGTATTGTCATATAATACAGCCTTCATATATTATATATGTATTTTGTATATTTTTTGTATTTAAATCTATAAAAATTATTTGCAATATAATTTAAATTCTTAGTGATTTTTTGAAATAATTGATTTTTTTTTTCTTTAAAAAAAGTATTTTTATTAAAAAAAATCTTTTATAATTATACTTAATACATATAATTCATTATTTATCAGTTGATAAATAAAATTATTTTTTGTATTATTTATTCTAAAATAATTATTTATAGGATAATTACTAATGTTTTTTTTATATTTTGATTTTTTTTTGTAAACCTTCTATATTTTTATCAACATTCAAAGGAATTACAAAACCTAAATCTAAATTTTAATAAAATTATTATACTTTTTAATTGTTTTTTTATGTTTTTTATCTACTTTAAAAGTAGAATTAGAAGTAAATGTTGTAATAGAAGTGGTTGAGATAGAAATGGAAGTAAAGTAGAAGTAAAACTAAAAGTGATAAGTTTATTTAGATTACCATCATTATATGATGCTATAATTTTCATTTTTTTATTAACTAAAAAGTTATTATAATTTTTATTTAATTTTTAAAAAATTGTATTAAAAAAAAAAAACAAAAAAAAAATCTTAATTTATAAAATTGATAATTCTCAATTTCTCTTAAAGAATCCCAGGTTCCCATAAAGAATTGTCAAATTTGGCAAGTTCTCATAAAGAGTTCACCAAAATAATGATTTCTCCTAAAGAATCATCATATTTGGGGAGATATATAATCAATTGAGTAGCAGTAAGATTTAACATAAGCTTTATAATAAATTGGAAGACTTTAATTATGTTTGAATTCGATTTACATTGGTATTCTTTCACAACTAAGTTTTTAAATTAGCATGTATATGAACTTTCAATTTATAGTGTGTAACTCGTAATTTCCTCTGATGTTAAAAAAATACTCTGATAATGTTATAATAGATATATTATAACCAAATTGGTGATGCGTAGCTCAAGTATTTCACAATATTAATACTTAAGCTCATTGATGACTCTAAACATGATTGTTGACACAAAGCAATTTGTTTGTATGAAACAATTTAGCAAAGAGGTTTATTAACTATAAAATTAACTTCCTAAATTTCTATTGATACATGATGAAAAACTCAGCTTATTTATAACAAAATTTCTACTAAATTGCTATCAACTATGTAATAATTCTCTTATTCCTCTATGTAATTTTTGCTGTAATAATTACCTAATCACTATGCAATAGTCCTATAACTATAATATATTTGTATTTAAAAAAAATAAAAAATATATATTATTCTTTTAATATTAATACTTAGCCTTTGACTAGTTTCTCCTTGAAGTTCCCTTTTGGAGTTTCTAGTTTAGAAGGTTATGCGTGTCATTCATGGGCTAATGATCTATTATTTCATTTCTTCATTAATTGATTTTGTAATCTTATTTTCATTTAATTGTAAACTCTAGCCAAAAAACTTTACGGTATTTCACCAATTAACATTATTCAAGTAAAGGATCTCATGCAAACCGACTCTTGGTTTGGTGGTAGTGCTTCTGATCATTATGTAAAAATCACAAATGGATCTAATGGTTGGAATCTGTCGAAACTCGTATTATTTACAAAACCATCAATCCAAAGTGGGAACAAGAAGTTTACATTCCAATTTATGATCTTATTGATAAATTCAAGCGATTATAATGCTTTTTTTCAAGAATGTACTATTGGAATATTATTTTCTCGATCTCAAAAGACTTTATTAAGGTTTTGGGAAATGAAACCAGCATTTAGATCTTGAGTTATTTGGATAATTTACATGAGTTATATTATAAAATCGTGAATAAAAACATTCTTATTACTGAGAATTATGAAAACGCAGTGCAACAATTTTTTTTTGCATCATTCATTTTAACTAACAATCTCATCATGAACTTTATGATAAATAGGATAAATATTTGCGTTCTCGTCACCTCTTAGAAGGATGGGAACTTTTGACAACTTTTCAATTATCATTATTTTAATTCCAATATTTTTTTTTGTTGTTGTAATATAAAAAAATGTCATTATATGAATCAACACGACACGATAATAACCGAAATTCTGACAACATATTTAAACTTTGTTATTTTATAATTTCGAAGAACATATAGGGAAACGGGATTATTGGATTGATTTATTATAATATGACCTATCTCATATTTTTCGATTTATATTTATAATGATTAAAATCTTTGTATCTTATATTTTTTTATAACTTTGATATTAAAAATTAACTCAAATTATATTTGACGATATGCTTGTCTTTGATTGGTGATAATTAGTGTAACGTGTAGGAAGTTATATAATAAAAAAAAAATTTTTTTTTTCGAATGATTATTTTTTCACAATAACAAAAAGCGAAAAAAAATGGTAAATTTTGACAATATTTTTTAGTTTTGGAATTATGAACGAAGGAAATTTTTTTGATTGTATTAATATGGATGGCTCAATGAAAGAAAAGAAAAGAAAAAAAAATGAAATGAAATCGATAGTATCAGAACGATAACAGATTCTGAACAAAATGAGTTCTCTCGGAAAATTTATCAATACTATTATAAAATATCATAATATTCAAATCCATTATCATTTCATCTTTTTAGGCTGACGATTACGATGCAGCAGCTGCCGCTGAATTGAAAAAGAAGAGAACTTTTAGAAAGTACTCTTATAGAGGAGTGGATCTTGATCAATTACTAGACTTGAGTAGTGATCAATTAATGGATTTAGTTCATTGTAGAGCAAGACGTAGGTTTCAACGTGGACTCAAACGTAAACCGATGAGCTTAATTAAAAAATTACGTAAAGCTAAAAAGGAAGCTCCTCCAAATGAAAAACCTTCGGTTGTTAAAACTCACTTACGTGATATGATAATTGTACCTGAAATGATTGGTTCAGTTATTGGTGTTTATAATGGAAAAACTTTTAATCAAGTTGAAATAAAAGTAAGAAACCTGAAGGAAATTTATTAAAGAAGGATTATTAATTAACATTTTTATTTTATTTGAACGCGATAGCCTGAAATGATCGGCCATTATCTCGCTGAATTTTCCATCTCATATAAACCTGTAAAACACGGTCGTCCTGGTAAGTAAAACTATACGATACATTATCATCATTTCTTCATTATATTGATTCTAATTAATCAATGTGTTAATCATCTATAGGTATCGGTGCTACTCACTCTTCACGTTTTATTCCATTGAAATAAAAAAGTCATCTAATTGTAATACTAGCCAGGGGGGAAATAAAAGCTTTTTTTATTGAAAGAATGATTTGAATTAATTATTATTTTTTTTCCTTAATATAAAATATATAAAATATATGTCTAATAAATGCAATTCTCTCAATAAAAATTATATTATAATTTATTCTTTTCCTGAATAAAGGATGAATTTTTATTTCTCATCAATGTTAGATCCTTGAATTTGTTCTATCCCACTTTGTTTTTCGATCCATTCGAGTAATCCTTTAGAAAAAACATCTTGTTTCAAGATCTTTTTCTCTACATAAAATTTTTTTCTCTCTTTATTATTTTCTCCTTGTCTCATCCAAGTCACCCATTGAAGACTCTTCTTATTTTGAATTTCTTTTAACTCGGATAATTTAAGGGTGGTTTCTTCTAATCTACCTAACCAGTCAAAAGTTTCTACTGTAAGATAAGGATCTCCTGAAGAATGTAAAGTATACGGATTAAAAGATTTTCTTAAAGAAGGTTCATAACGACGTTGTGGAGGAAGATAAATAAATATACGAGATACATATGTTGCACTTAAATAATTGATGAAACATAATGGAACTATCGCTGATATTCCGGCTAATAATTTGAAACGAAAAAATTACAATTAAAATATGATCATATATGCGCGTAATTGTAAAACAAAAGCAGTTAATAGAATTACCTCCGACTGCCCCAACGATAGGTGCTTTTCCATAAATATAAATTGTAGGTATGAGTAAAAAACCACAAGTACAAAATAGTAGAGCTAATCTTTTATATCTTCTAACATGATAAGATAAAGGTCCAACATAAATCGACATTCGATTTTCTAAATTTAATTTTGGATTTTTATGTGCAGCAATTTTTTTTAAAGGTTTAATTGTTGTAGTTGTAGTAGTAGTAACATTTGTAAATAATCGTGAGTGATTTAATAAATTTGTTGTAGGAAATAAACATTTTGATTTAAATAGATATGAAGTAAAATGTACATGTCTTTTAATTAAAAGAATTTTATTGACCATTTTTTTTTCTTTATATATATATATATATATATACAGTATAATGCGAATTCCCGACGCGCTATATAAAAAAATATATTTCCAGGATTGTGTAACGTTTGTTCATTTAACATCAATCATTTTCATCTGTTAAACTTATTTATTTTTTCATTTTATCGTTCCAAATTTTTTTTTTTTTCATAATAAAGAAAATGAGACGTGCAAAAGTATTTTCTGGTTCTTCACACCCCGAACTTGCGGAATTTATATGCGAAAAGTTAGGAATACCTCCAGCTCCTGTTACGTTAAAGAAATTTAGTAATCAAGAAACTTCTGTTGAAATTGGTAAAGTATCATTACAAACTTTTCTTATAATGTTTGGAAATGCTAACCTGAATTTAACAATAACTTCATTTTAATGATTAATTATCTGATGTATAATTATTTGGTAATCAGGGTGCTCCGTTCGTAATGAGGATGTTTACATTATTCAATCCGGTTCAAATAATGTTAATGACCATCTTATGGAATTATTAATTATGATTTCAGCATGCAAAGGCTCATCAGCAAGTCGAATTACTGGTAATTCACTTATCCTTGGTTGAAATTTAATCGTTATCGAACTGTTAATAAATATATATATATATCTTTATTTATTTATTTATTTATTTAGCTGTTATGCCTTATTTCCCATATTCGAAACAAAGCAAAAAGAAAAAATATCGTGGAGCTATAACGGCAAAGAGTAAATATCATATATTTTGAAATAAAAATTATGTTCTTGACTAACATTTTATTATTCAGTGGTGGCCAATTTGCTTTCGGTCGCTGGTGTAGATCATATTATCACGATGGATCTTCACGCGTCACAAATGCAGGGCTTTTTCAATAAGCCAGTTGATAATTTATACGCTGAACCAAGTATTGCTAAATGGATTCAAGATTCTGTTCCTGAATACATTAATGGCGTAGTCGTTAGTAAAAATGCTGGCGGTGCAAAAAGGTAGATTCGTCACTCCTTAATCGCATTTCTTTTATATTGACACAATCTGATTCGTTCTTAATTAATTCATAGAGTAACGTCTCTTGCCGATCGTCTTAAAATTGATTTTGCGCTTATTCATACTGATTGTACACGAGGTTCTCACCAAACAGTTGGGACTTCAGTAACCGAAATATCAAACCTTTCTCTTTCTTCTCCTTCTTCTTCTAGTAATCATGATAATGTTTATCATACGTCAAATACAACAGCTAATCTTATTACATCAATTGTTGACGAAAAACTCAATGATGAAAATGACGAAGAAGTTACATTATCAAAAGATGCACTTTCAGTAGATGAAGAAACTAGTAGTACTATAACACTTGTAGGCGATGTTGCTGGAAAAGTTGTCTTTATAGTCGTAAGTGATTAAATAGTATCATTTCAAAGCATTTTATACTTTTAAAAAAATTGTTTATCATTTCAACTCATACTGCACTCGATAAAGATGATTTTTTTTTGTATAGGATGATATGGTCGACAAATCAGGTTCGTTTATAGCAGCCGCAGAACATTTGATGAAAAAGTGTAACGCAAAACGTGTTTACGTAATTGCTACTCATGGAATTTTAAGTGGTGATAGCATCAAAGAGATAGAGCGTTGCAAGAGCATACATCAGGTTAGAATTACCTACTCATTTATTTCTTAGTTGTATAATTCTTGATTATTTAAATTGACGATTTTTCATTTCCTTTTATAGCTGGTGATTACAAATACTTTTCCAATTCCACATGAGAAAAGATGTCAAAGTACAAAGATTGTAATAATTGATGTTTCCGCTACATTAGCTGAAGCAATTCGAAGAACTCATAATGGCGAAAGCATTAGTTATTTATTTTATACTGCATTATAAATAAATGTTTTAAAAAAGCTTTTTATTAAGCGACATAATGAATAAAAAAATTAATAAATTTTTTTGTGTAAAGTTTCATTAATTATATGATTATTATCATAGATAAATCTTCTCAAAAGAGAAAAAATTATTTCTACAGAAAGCATAGTTCAATGGTTCAAAATTTGTTATTTTTTTTGCTAAATAAATATCATTAATATTTTATGAAATACAGTAACAAGTAATATAGAAATATAATAATTTAAGCCCACGTCCTATTGATCATTATAAATTATTTTCGAAGTTTAACATTAATATGAACTTTTGGTTCAACATTAGTAACAGCAAATAATAATTTATCTATGACAGAATTTTTATTTTTTTCAAAAGCTTTTTGAACTTCAACTAATTTTTCGTCTGTTTCTGCTGCAACTTTAACGTTAGATTGATCCGAAGATCCAACATGCTAAAAATATATATACAATCATTAATATCAAAGAAATATGTATTTAAATATATAAAAGTAGAATTATTAAATTTACTTCAGCCTCAAAATTTTGAAATTCACTATTTTTTTGTTCTTTTAATTCTTCAATCGCTCTTGCTGCGTCAGTTCTAGCATCTTTCAACCGTTGAACACGATCTGTTATAAAAAAAAAAGGTAAAAAAATCAATAATAATTTTTTTTGTATAAGGATAAATGAATTAAATAACTTTACATTGTCTAGCTTTTTGGACAATTTTTGCGGCCTCTTTTTCAGCTTCCAATAATGTTTGGATTCCTTGAGAGTTTTGATGGTGTGTCTACATAAAAAAACAAAAAGTAATATTAGTTAATTGAATTTCAATAAGGGATGAGATCTAATAAAAAAAAAAAATTATTAACCATTATGAAAAGTTTAATATGAAAGTGAAAGTGGATCCATCGAGATTTGTT